TGGAGCAGAAACAGTCAAAGCTCGTGCTACGCACGATGTCCTTAAAATGTATGTGTTGCCTCCCACAGTGCTAGGAGCGTTGCAACAATCATTTCCCAGGATACGATGACTTCGAACTAATGTTTGAGCACACAAACAAGAGTTCCAGCGAACGAAAACACAATATGAACACAGAGGAAAATTTCGGAATGCTGGAGGTGTTTTAGAGCTCAGAAATACGTGAGGAATGTGTATGCACGTGTGTATCAACGTGTGTTGTTGCAACCCACCTGCCGGCCTTTACATAGGAGGATTTGTTGTGTGTCAATGGTGAATTAATGGACTTGAACGTTGGACATCAATGACCAGTCCGTTGGGCATTGAATCGTCCATGAATTGTCCATTTAACGCTGCATTAAAAGATAAGAGCGTTGGACATTTATTGTTGTAACAGTTCAGAACGTCCAGCTGCACGACCAGAAGACCCCCCAACAGGAGTCCCTACGAGGTGTTCTGTCCGAAGCCAACAGAACACCCCTACGAGGGGTTCTGTCCGACGCCACCAGAACAACATACCGAGGTGTTCTGGTCGAGGCCTATCTCTTGAGAGATAGATTTTTTGGACGACATTCGTGTCCGCATGTCGCCCGCGCACGCAAGTCGTGGTTTTTGTTCTCCGATTTTGGGATTTGATTTGCACCCCCCTGCGCGCATGGATAGAGCCTTTACCCTCAAGAATCTTAACTCCTTAAGGGGAGAGTCCCTTTATAAAGGGTTGCAAATCCCTTGAGTTTTCCGGTGTGGGAAATAGCACACTAGAAACCCATCCTTTTTCCCAGTTTTTCCATTCTAACAGGTAAACTTCGAGAATCAATTTCTCATTCACCTGTTATCCGTTTTGAGCGCACCATAGATCGAATTGTAGCCCTAAACAAGGACGATCCGAAACCACTTTGACCCGACTCAAATCGGAAGTCGAACCCAATCAAAAATTGCCCCAAAATTACCATTTAATGCAATCTTAACACATTTTTCCAACATGGTTATCTTGGCATGTTTTATTTTGCGTATCTATAAGATGGATGTTGTCCCGGATGTTATTGCATAAGTTGAAAACGTCTATGTGGAGTTGTGGACTGGTAGTAGTGACAGTGATGACTCCAGCAATGAAGAAGCAATTAGAGATTCCATAACCGAATCTATGTGGGCTGATTACGACATGTAAAATATGAATGATTATGTAGAAAAGATAATATACCAAAATGATGTTTTGGTCAAAAATATACTACCTCCGTCCCAAAAAACTTTGCCATTTCAAATAAATTGAACCATGGTTTTGATTAGTATAATATCATGGAAGTTAATAATTTTATACTTATATGAAAGTACTTTTAACAAAGAACATTTTCATATGATTTTTATATTATAAATAATTTTCAATAAAAAGATATAATCGGTCAAAGTTTTGAAAATGGAAAAGTTTTTTGGGACGGAGGTAGTATTGTCTTAATCGTGACTGAAATATACACCCCACGACCAATGTATATACATCCGCATGAGAGAGCTATGCGTGTAAATCTACTCCTAATTACAAAAGTGGAAAGCGATAATTACAAACTATAACAAAAAGGAAGTAAAATCTGTACAACTAATATAATAGGAACAATATGACCGACTTCCTTTGCTATCCTCGTAACGCATGCATATACATGTGGTAAGGAATAGGTGGCTTCAAATTGGCTCCTTTATGCATGTAACGTACACGTGCATATAGATTGTTTCCATGTAGGTGAGTTTCCAAGTAAATGGGCCAACAGATTACGTTTCAAGCTATGTATTTTTGTCATTTTAAGTTGAATTTTTATTTACAATTTATGTTGATGCATGTTATAATATATTGTTGGGCTTGTATTTGTGAAGAATGACTCCAAGGAGGATAACGTTGGATGCCAATCGACACAGTTCAGGTGCACGTGTGATGCATGGGTGCAACAGTTCAAGTCAAATAGCTCATTAAATCGGTCTAAATCCATGTATGATGCTCCTATTCGTGCTTATTTGAATGTCGATTAAATCTGGCTTTTAATGTCAGTTTAAACTGACTTTTAATGTCGAAAAAACACATTTAATGTCGGTTAAAACTGAGTTTTAATGTCGATTCTGAACCGACATTATTCCAGCAGTTATTAAAAGTCTAGTACTTTTCGTATGAGTTGGTGCACCCGTTACCAAATGTATTTTATAAAGGTTGTAATGGAACAATTACCAAAAGTATTGATATCGGGTATAATATAACTGTTGTTATAGACCTTTTATGTAGGGCTAAACTAACCCACATAAAATGTATCTCAGTCCCTAATATAATCACATGCTCTGTGTATCTTCTTGATCCCATGTTTTAATAAATATCATTATTGTACTTTTTTTTCATCACTACTTTTTTATATTACGGAGTACAATATAACATTAACCATAATAACTTTCAACATAATATAAATAACCTATTATTAATCATAATTAACAAATAAACAATGTCAATTCTACACCAATATCACTTGATTTCGAAATTTCCATAAAAAACTAGCTACAAATTTACAACCCACTATTAATTATAACATCCACTAAAGTTAATATCAAATACTAATAACTTCATAGATAGATGATGTCCAACACTCCTCTGTCTCATCGATCCCTTGTTCAGTGAATGAATGAGTCTTGAACATTAAATACCTACAAGTTAAATAATGAAAGTTAATTAATAAATAAGAATAATTGAAACAAAAAAATGTCACAAGTAAAAAATAAACTAAAAGCATGCGTGAAATACTAATCAAACATAAACTAAAATGTATGTTTAAATGACACGTTTTCAACTAGTATAGGACCGATAAATTTCTTTCCACATAATTTAATTATTAATTTCCTCAACTAGTCTTAAGTCAATTTTTGAAAATATATATAGACGATGAATCCACTCTCATGGCTTTCCATTCACACACTATTTATAAATTTAGGTCCCAGCATGTGCCCATGTTTTTATCATTCTCACACCATTATAAATTTAATTCCAAACATATCCCTTACTTTAGAGGCACCACTTGTAGTGATAAGGAAATTTCAACATCCAATATCCATATGTTTCAAATCCTCATTTATAATTATCCATATCGTACATGTTAGTAATATTAATGTAATACTCCAAAATACCAGCATCCATGAATCAACAATGCCAACATCCATGAATTACAAATTTATGTTATAACTCGATACTATCTTTGAGACATTTGGCTACAATTGTCGAGAAAGGGGGATGACGATCGCTTTTTGTTGCATGTCCCAAAAATCGTCTAAAATGAATGAGTCGTCAGAGTGATCGAAGCTGTCTGAGGCATCAGACTAATACTCCAGAACACACTTTTGAAGTTTTGGGTTAGCTATCTCTTAATACTCCAGAACATTTGATAAGTATACCTTTACGGCTTTACCATAAACTCACTTGAACCATTCATATAATATTTGAGTTTTTTACATAAATATTACCAATGATGTTTGAGTTTACAAAAAAGTATGTGACTATAACTAACAATCACGTATGGTAGCCTTGGAGAAATTGTAGGGACATCACATTGTTCCTTTAATCAGTAGTCATCATATTTTTGTTAGAGAGATTTAAAATAGTAATATTTGTGTAATTTTTTCATAACATTTTGACACTTTATTTTATAAATTATATGCACATCATGTCTAGAACATATTGAGGAGGAAGAATGTGATTTGATAGTGCACAAATTTATATGGTTTTTAGTGAAATATAAGTAAAACAATATGTTTGACAGCACAAAAAAAATGTTTGATAGCACAAATTCATTGTTGAATTTAAACAATCCACATGTTTTTTTTTAATTTCATTTTTTGTTTACTACTAGTATTTACTAAAGCAAATTTTGATGCAACCAATGACAGAGTAATTTATGGAATTCATAAACTGGGTATTCTTCCAAATTTCATAACTTCATAACGTACTCATACACTCATATCAAATGTTGAGAATATAAACGTTGATAATATAAGGAACTTTCTGATTATAGTTCAAAATATGCACAAAAAACTCAAAATGACATGTTTTTTACAGGAATGTGAGCCAATTGAAAAACCATTTGAAATGCTCCGTATAGAACTATTTTGGTGCTTTTCACTTTCTCACATTTCATTATCGATGGAACCATATTATTCATACACACATTGTATATACATAACTTATTTGCTACTAACTTAAATGGGGAATACTATTAATATTAATATAAAATTAACAATCAATATAATATCTTTCAAACTTTTTGAAAATTTCACACATGCATTTGAATAACAAAATGTTACTAAAAATTTTAACCAAACCAATAACTATTGATTTCAACCAATACCGTATATGTATCAACACATCATCCTGCACATTAACCTACATAAGTATATTTGAGGTCAATGGCTATCATTGTGTGTTTTCAGCCAATTCAAACATAAGTCAACAAATAAACACATTAAATCGAGTTCACCACAAATAAAACTTTATTTATATGTTAAATATTACTGAGTATGAAAATGAGCTCACCTTAAAATCGTAAATAGAACCTACCATTTTGTGAGAAAAAATTGCATTACTATTACTCTTTAAAATGTGGTGAACTAAAATATTACTTAATAACTATTAGTGATCTTAATTGTGTTCAAAGTTTATATTTTAGTAACTTACATGTATTTACCACTCCGTATGATATAAATTTGAGCATAATTATATTCATTAATAGTTACGGAGTATTAAATAATATTTTCCTACTTTTTATTAGTAATATTTAGGGAAACCCCCTTGTACTTGCTTAATACAGAAGATAACAATTTTAAACATCATAATATATTGGTCTGGAGAATAAAATTTCAGAACTACTTTTGCCTTAAGTAACATCCACGGAGTTAATCTTTTTTATTAATTAGCAAATCAGTATGAATTAATATATATAGCAATGAAAGTGAAATTTTGCATTAAGATGAGAGAATGGATGGGTTTTGGTTGGGGGCTCTGAGGATTATATATAAGATGCGCTAGCTGGATCCTCCGTCTTCCCAATCTCCCTCTTTCTCAGCCTTCTCTGTTTCCAAGTCTCAAACACTTCCCCCAAACTGATCCTTTTGTGTAACGGAAGAACCTGTTCAGTTTTGCTTCCCTGTTTAATTTCTTCATTCACAGCAGTGTTCTGGTAACTCCCCTACGATCTCTCCATTGTGTTCTTTCATCCGTTGCTAATTACTGGTTCCGAACTCCCAATTAACAGTTCCGAGCGGATAAAGTTCATGCAAGCAATTACAGTCCTTTAGCGAAAGTTGGGTGGTCTTATATATCCCCAGTGAGGGTTTAGGGTTTTGGGAGGGTGATGGATAATCTGGAAAAGGCCATAGTGATCAGCTTTGATGAGACTGGGGGCGTCGATGGTGTGCTGAAATCACAAGCGATTGCATTTTGTCAGCAAATTAAGGACTCCCCATCAATCTGTAGTATATGTATCGATCGTTTGTGCTTTTCAAAGCTAGTTCAGGTCCAGTTCTGGTGCTTACAATGCCTTTATGATGCACTTCGGGGTCGATACTCCTCAATGAGTTCAGAGGAGAAGTTACTTGTTAGGAAATCCGTGTTTTCTATGGCCTGTTATGAGACCTCTAATGATAATAACAACTTGGTGAGGGTTCTGGATGGTCCAACCTTCATAAAGAATAAGCTTGCTCAAGTTTTTGTGACTTTAATTTATTTTGAGTACCCATCAACGTGGCCTTCTGTCTTTGTCGACTTCTTACCGAATCTTAGTAAAGGAGCAGTTGTTATTGATATGTTTTGTCGGATTTTAAATGCTATGGATGAGGAGATAATTAGTTTGGACTACCCAAGGAGCCAAGATGATGTGACTATTGCAGGGCGAATTAAGGATGCTATGAGGCAGCAGTGCATTGGTCAGATTGTTAGGGCATGGTATGATGTTTTGTTAATGTATAGGAGTTCTGATCCAGAGTTGTGCACTAGTGTTTTAGATTCTGTAAGGAGGTATGTTTCATGGATTGACATTGGGTTAATAGTCAACGATGCATTTCTCGCGTTGTTATTTGAGTCAATGTTGGTTGATGGCTTTCCAGAACAACTCCGTGCTGCTGCTGCTGCTTGTGTGCAAGCAGTAGTTTCCAAGCGTATGGATCCAAAAGCTAAGATCACACTCTTACAGAATCTTCAGATAAGAAGGGCCTTTAGTTTGCTGGGTGGTGACAATGATTCTGAATTGGTATCAAGCATCGCGTCATTGCTCACTGCTTATGCCAATGAAATTTTGGATTGTTTCAAGAGGATAGACTTTGGTAGTGGCAAAGCCATCTCAATGGATCTTCTAAATGAAGTTCTGCCCTCAGTGTTTTATGCCATGCAACATTGTGAACTTGATGAAACTTTCAGCATTGTGCAGTTCCTTTCTGGGTATGTTGGCATGATGAAGAGCCTTGCCCGATTGACTGAGACACAGCAGCATCACTTAGGTCAGATACTGGAAGTCATCCGTTCCCAAATTCGCTTTTCTTCGAAGTACCGTGATAATCTTGATGTACTGGACAAAGTTGGGAGGGAAGAGGAAGACCGGATGACTGAGTTTCGTAAGGATTTATTGGTCCTACTTCGCAATGTTGGACGTGTTGCACCTGATGTTACACAAATTTTTATCAGGAACTCCTTCGAAAGTGCTGTTGCATCTAGTGGTGATTATAACGTTGAGGAGATAGAGGCTGCACTTTCACTTTTTTATTCGTTTGGCGAATCAGTTAGTGAGGAGATGATGAAGAATGGAGGTGGTCTTTTGGGAGAGCTGGTGCCGAAGCTCCTGCAAACAAAGTTTCCTTGCCACTCCAATAGGATTGTGGCATTAATGTATTTGGAAACTATAACAAGGTATACAAAGTTTGTTCAGGAGAGTAATCAGAGTATGCAATACATACCCATGGTTCTGAGTGCATTCCTAGATGAAAGAGGCATACACCATGCAAATATTAAAGTGAGCAGACGAGCAAGTTATCTTTTCATGAGGGTTGTTAGATTGCTAAAAGCAAACCTTGTCCCATACATAGAGACCATTTTGCAGGTATTACTTTGACATCATTATGCTCTCTATAATGGTTGTGGTTAAGATAACGATCTATAAATGGTGTCATTGTGCAGTATGATGAATATGTTTCACTTTTCACCTCATATCTAATTTTACACCGTTCTTCAGAGCCTGCAAGATACTGTTGCTCAATTTACAACCATGTCTTATTCTTCCAAGGAACTATTGGGGTCTGAAGATGGTAGTCACATCTTTGAGGTATATGCTAAGTTTATAGTATATCAATTGATTTATAACATTTTGTAAACAGTTCCATGCTTGATGTCTTATTGTTCTAACATTGCAATGTTTTCTCAGGCCATTGGTTTATTGATAGGGATGGAAGAAGTACCACTTGCAAAACAATCGGAGTATCTTTCTGCTTTGCTTACTCCTCTTTGTCAGCAGGTCAAGTTTGAATACCTATATGATGCCCTAAACTTGAGCAGGCACTAGATGTCTTTTGTAGTTCATTCAAAAGTTATTTCTAACTTTCCAAATGTATGCTCATCTTGTATGTGAAACAAAAGTTGACTGCATGAGAGTTCTTACAATTCCTTTTACAAATCATGAACTTGCTCATTTTGTGGTAGAGCTGTTAAGGATTTATCATTTCAATCATGTTCAATGGCACAGATAGAGAAATGGGTTGTGTTACATAATTCTTCTTTTATTTTTAATTTTGGAAGGAGAGCTAGAGAGGGTTGATGAGTGGAGTAGGGTAGAGTTCCCTTATCTCGTCATATTCTGGGTATGAAGATTCTGCTATGTATGCGTTCTTGACTAATATTTACTGTGGACACTTTAAACAGGTGGAAGAAATGCTCGTTAACGCAAAAGTTCTGAACCCTGAAAAGTCCCCTGAGAAGATGATCAATTTACAGCAGATAATAATGGCCATTAATGCTCTTAGCAAGGTCGTCTTTCAAGTTCTTAAAATTTCACTTTTGATGTTAACAGTTTTTTATACATAGATGATAGATTCTTTACACTGGAACCATCTTCTGTCTCACATATTAGCATCCTCATTTCATTTCATTTCATTTCATTTCATTTCATTTCATTTCATTTCATTTCATTTCATTTCATTTCATTTCATTTCATTTCATTTCATTTCATTTCATTTCATTTCATTTCATTTCATGCAATATGTGTACGCGGCCTAGCTAGTTTAAACGTGTACCGTTATTTGAGTAAAAAACATGTTTAGTACTACAAAAGCCGGCATTTGTGTTTCAAACGGGAAAAACGCCAGCCCAGCAATTCAGCAAATTTTACAAAAAAGTGACAGATCGTATTTTAAAATGAAGGGCTTGCACGTGATTTAAAAACCAGAACATTAAGGAGCTTTAAATGCATAATAAACAAACTATGGAGCTATTCAGCCTATACTAATTACTAACTGGCATCCTAAATGGCTAACTGTAGAATATGAAGAGTTTAATTTTTTTTTATTCTTCTAATCTTCATTTCTACTCTTCTAGTATTTTTTCAGTCAACGACTTTATTACGTTAGGGCTAAAGATAAACGGTTAGACCTGTCTAGGCTTCTCCAGTTCTACACTTCTACCCTCTCAGAATCATTCACGTAGACTTTTGAACTGCAGCCGGACATCCGCCTTTGACACTCCGGCCAGTCTCTGACAGGCTTACATCACCATTGTCCAAATTTGTCTTTACTCAGTTTGCCTAACCATTGATGATGATGGTGATGACGATGATGGGTCGAACTTGGGTTTAATGTGATCGTCTTGTTCTATTGTCATCATGTATTGCTTTATTCAGACATAATTTTTGTTGAACTATGTGTTGGGCTTAATTACTATGGAGTATTTCTTTTTATTACGTTTTTTATGGAGTAATGGGATTTGCTATTTGAATGTGTCTAATTCTTTTTCCTTTTACTGTATTTTTTTTTGTGATATAAAAAGTATTACAATTAAATGTTCAAAACAAGACCCATATTTTTTGTAAAGGGTACCACATTATACACATATACATATTTTAGTGTTTTTAAAGTCAAAGCTTCTTTTCCTTTTACTGTATGTTTTTTTGTGATATAAAAAGTATTACAATTAAATGTTCAGAACAAGACCCATATTTTTTGTCCGTTTGTCTAAAGGGTACCACATTATACACGTGGCAACTCACTGGCAAGCGTGAAATCGACATTCCTAGCTTCTTAAAAAAATAGTTTTCTACAGTTAGTTTAGACGCTCGTTTACACGTACGTTTACCATTTTGTCTGCATAAATAATTGATTTTCATTTTAGTAAAGGAAATTGATTGTGACTTTGAATTGAACCTTATTTAGTTCCCATGCTATATTTAATCTCATTTAGTTCCTATGCCACATAAAAGTGTACGTATTGAACCTCATTTAGTTCCCATGCCATATTTAACTAATGATGCCAAATAAAAAGTGTACGTATTGAATGTCATTTAGTTCCCATGCCATATTTAACTAATTAGGGTGCACAGCGTCAACAAACACCATAATGATTTGAGTCTCAGCTTAGTCTCTTCTGGGAAAAACTTATAAAGTGTGTTATTTAAATGAAAGTGATGGTGTGTTGTTCTTTAAACCATTGGTCTGTCATACCTGCTTCTTATACTTAGTGCATTTCCATGACTCTGGCTAATGACTATATGGCTGTATGTTAAACATACTCAGTTCTTAGACACTTTCTAAATTGCATACTGGCTTGGTTCGTGGTTTCTCAGGGCTTTAGTGAACGCCTTGTAACTGCTAGTCGTCCCGCGATTGGTCTCATGTTTAAGCAGGTAGGTAAACTGTATGTGCTTAATTCTCCGATTTTTTTTCACACAGCTCATTGTGGTTTCAAGAAATTACTCTTCCTACTCTCATCCAATTCAACATTTTGTTCTTAATACATATTCATATTATTCCTACAACTAACCTCTTTAGACCATAATAATCACGTAAACCTGAATCTGATTGGTTTGTATGTGTATATATAAAATCTTTCTTCAATACTCTTTTAAGCATTATCCTCACAATTACTTTAAATGTGGAAAGTGAAAGAAAAAGACTACTCGGATCAAAGCATATCTGATCAAGAGATCAGAAAAAAATGGATGGCTACTCCCCTGAGTTATTTTGAAAAATATAACTTGTTTTTATTCTTTTGAACTTGTTGAAGTGCCGAGTGATATTGATTTTATATTTGAAATCTATTTGCAGAGTTTTGTTTTGTTTTTCTATTAAGCTGAATGCTAATGCTACTTCACTTTTTTTTTAATCTCAGACATTGGATGTCATGTTACAAATTCTTGTTGTATTTCCAAAAGTAGATTCACTGCGGTGTAAGGTATGATTTTGATGTGTTATTTGATTATCTTAGTATTTAAAATTTACATTTTTATTATCTGATATATGAAATTCTTCTATCCAGGTTACATCTTTTGTTCATCGCATGGTGGACACTTTAGGAGCATCCGTGTTTCCTTATCTTCCGAAGGCGCTGGAGCAATTGCTTGTAGAAAGTGAGGTAACTTTATAAGTATATGTAGTTCATGTAGTCATATATACAAAGTCATGAATCACTGACTTCCTTGACGAAACTTATCATCTAATCATCTTATGTCTGACTTTTAATATCTTTTTCAAGTTAGTGATATTTCAATCAATTCTAATAACATGTATAAATGTATGTCTGTTGATTCTATTCACACATTTGACGATAAGTAGTTGCTTTTGGCTTTTGCTAATTTGTTTATGTTATTATTTTCGGAATTAATTGCCTTCTTCTGTAACATGGCAGCCTAAGGAATTAGCGGGATTTCTGGTGCTGATTAATCAGCTAATCTGCAAATTCAGTACATCAGTTGGAGACATATTGGATGAACTGTACCCTGCTATTGCTGGTAGGGTTTTCCATATTCTCCCGAGAGATGATTTCCCTCCAGGACCTGGTGGCAACACTGAGGTACATAGACATGTGAATTTTTTGTCATTTTCTTTTTAAGCTGCAGGAAAGTCTTTGGGTGATGTGCTTAATATGAAATTGCACTTTACAAGGTTTGCTTTCGGTCTCATGATTGTTTTGTGTAGGAAATACGTGAATTGCAAGAACTTCAACGTACACTATACACATTTCTCCATGTCATTGCCACTCATGATCTTTCATCAGTTTTTCTATCTGCCAAAAGTCGGCCGTACTTGGATACCGTGATCCAGATGCTGTTGCATAGCTGCTGTAATCACAAGGATATTGTTATACGGAAGGTGATAACTATTTACTGAAGATTTATTTCAATGTTCAGATTTTTTCATTATCACAATTAGTTGATGGAAGTTCTAATGCTTGAAACGGCTGTGATCCAGACCTGTGTGCAAATTTTCATCAGACTGATTAAAGATTGGTGCACCAGTCAATATGGCGAAGAGAAGGTATCGTTAAGATTCAATGCTTAAGTGGGAAGTGGGGACCTATTTTTTTGCCGTGGTACATCATACATTTTTCTTATCAGGTACCTGGTTTCAAAAGTTTCGTTATTGAGGCCTTTGCAACGAACTGCTGCCTGTACAGTGTGCTTGACAAGTCCTTTGAGTTTCGTGATGCAAATTCAGTAAGTTGCTATATACGTATCCAAATGATTCAAATGGATCATGCGGCATTATTACAGCATAAGTGATTTATCTATCATTCGCTAAACACAACTTTTTAACACGATGTCTCATCTCTCAGATTCTATTTTTGTCCATTTGGGAGGACACTTTATGGTTCTACTCCTCCCTGCTTTAGTTTATCCATCTAATTGTTTCTTAATTCATAGTTTCATAATATTGGACATCTCTCTCTTTAATCCGGTACCTGTAGATTAATTTTAATAGTTTCATTGATTTTCAACATGTTCTCTGTTTATCAGCCATATTTTTCTCTAAACACAAAAATATATTTTTCGACTGATAATGAAAAAGTAGCGCACGCGTTACTTTGTTGGTTGAAATGGTGAATTGAATTAATGAAAGGAAATGGCACATCTATCTTCATTTATTGAAACATTTTGAAATTCCGAAATAGGAGTAGTGTGTTTTTATTTCCTAAATAGGAGTAATTATTGCCCAGCTTGGGAAACAATGCCACGTTGCCAAAACATGGCGGGTTTAACTCATATTTAGGGAATAAAAAATTGGAGAACGGAAAACAGAATTAGAAAACTGGAAAATATCTCTGTTAGTAAACAGGCCCTAACCGTCCTATATTGGTATTCACAAACGTTTTTACTCCTATTTACGGCAATTTCTCTATTAGTTTCTATTTTTTGGAAAATATATTCTTAATTAAAAAAAACTACAACACTCGGTCAATTCAGCTCTACCAAGCAAGTTCTTAATGTTTCTAACTGTCCACTTATGGATAGTATTATTGTTATTAAATATATGGCGATTGGGGAGAACTACTTATTCATATACAATATAAATCTTACTGTGGGACATTACTGTAAAACTGTCTTGACTCATCATTATCTCATGATATTTTCCTTGCAAGTGGAAACTATGTATGATAATGACTTTGGGAATTTAATCTCATTCTTCCTTTGTAAGAACGGCATGACAGGAAGGGCATTCAGCAGAGTACTTTTGCTTTTTGCATGAATATGTGGTGTTAGCTAATCTTAGACAATTCAATAATTCATGTAACTCCTATGGCATCATGACGATGTTTGCACCCATTAATAATGTTATTGTTACTGTTTTTACTAATAACTTCCAAAAAATGGTCATGCTCGTAATGATAAAATTAGTATATCAGCAAACAGATTTGTATAGGCAGAAGGTAACTAATTTGGGATTGGTTTTCTAATGATTGTCATGTCTGTTCTTGTATTGCAGTTTATTTTATTTGGTGAGATTGTATCGGCTCAGAAGGTCATGTATGACAAATTTGGCAATGATTTTCTCGTTCATTTTGTATCTAAAGGTTTTCCTAGTTCTCATTGCCCTCAACAATTGACTCAGCAGTATTGTCAGAAGTTGCAAGTAAGCGTCTGTTTACCCGCCCTTTTACAAAGATGTCAACTGGTTTCCCTTGTGCAAATTTAGAACTCATTGCTCTGTCTACTTCCTTTTTCCTCTTGTTTCTTGAATTATAAATTATTTCAACTTGATGGCCAGGGCAATGACATGAAAGGATTAAAATCATGCTACCAGTCTATCATTGAACATTTAAGACTCCAACAAAATGGTGTTGTGTTCAGATAACATCCAGAGAAGAAAAACCGTCTACGTACTATTAGTTGTACTCTTAGTATTTGTTTGGTGATTGGTTTATGTTCACGCAAAGGTGTGCATATATTCTCACCTTTCATCCTACTTAAGTGCATTTTTGACGTCTGTGCACTTATGCAAAGAAATTTTATTGTAGGCTTCCTTTTCATGTAAATATCATTGCTTTGAGGGGTCCGTGGACAGTGAGGTAAATAGATAATCTGCTTGTAATATGATTATTACAATACTTTCTATATGTTTTGTTTTTGCTATGTCTAATTTATTACAATCTTGTGTGACACAGTTGTAAATTTGCGGAAGCAGTTTTTTTTGCGAAATGAGGTGAAAAGTTTCTCTCTCGGTTTGACTATGCAACTGCCCGGGGTGGATCTAGTTAAAGAAGATCATAATAAATCCCTTGGTGGTTCAACTAGTGACCTAAATTGGTTCAACTAGTGACCTAAACTGTTGTGTATACGCCTTGCCACTTTGCGAGTATTCTCTTTAGTGTGTGTGAAATTCATGTGGAAGAAACGAAGTGGATTTTGGCAAGAACTAGTTTAAGATTAATGCGTAGTTTTTGTTTTTAAAGATAATTTATTATCTTTAGCCTTTAGGTCATTAAATCGTTGGTAAGTTAAGAAAAGGGTTTAATCCTAGAAAAATATCTTTGAATAAAATATTTTTGTGTTGATGTTTATTTCGTTTTTTTGGCATTTGTTTATTTCGTTTCTAAAAGTAGAAAAGTGAAAATCAAAACCAAAGACAACATTTAACAAAAGTGAAAGCAAAGAAAAGAGCAAACTATAATTAAACGTTCATAGAAACTTTAGATTTCTTAGTCCCACAATATATCCTTATCAGACAAATTGAGTAATAAATAAAAATCTCGCTCAAAACGGCACTTAGTGACATAGCAACTTTTTTACATCTTGAAACTGACAGGTGGCAAAGACGTGTTAGACTATCCATATTTGTGTATGTGAATACTAATGCAACCAAAATTTGTAGATTGCTGCATGTGCTGAGATTCTTTCCAATAATCACCAAATTATTGTAAAAAGTACGCGATATCTACATATAAAACGAAGTATGTTTTGTTGAAATGTTAAGATGTTTTGCCTATAAATGGTAATTTTTCCTACGTTCTACAGTGTTTTTCGCAGTTTTTTCCCAGTGTAAAACGGTAAACTTTATTTTTTGTGTACTCGAATGTTTTTAAGTGGTCTGAATTTTTTTGGTTTGGTTTGATATGCTTAAGTTTGATATGACTTGTTTAAGTCTAGTTTGTTTAAATTGGTTTGATCTGCCCTGTTTATGTTTGGTTTCGCCCGGTCTGCATTGGTATTTTATAATTTTTGAAGTCTGGTCTAGTCTGTCTAAGCCTGATCTGATCTATTTTGATCCATTTAAGTAAGATCTGTTCTGGTCTGATGTGGGGCTAAATAAGTGTAAATCATCCTTAAGCCTTAGCTACGATGCCAGTTAATACCATTGATTCAATTTCTTCCATCATCTTTTCATCAATTTATTTAAAAAATTTGTTACGTTGTAGACTTGTAGTTACTATACATCCTGGCGATGAAGTTTGTAGTATAAAACCTATGTAGATTAGTCGAGATAAAACTAGGATCGAAATTTGCATATTTTTGTTTTGTGGGTCATGGGGTGTAATAATGAAAGAAAGAAAAAGAGGTATAGGGATGTAGTTGGAGTTGTACACAAAGCGTACACAAAACTCCCTTACTTGCCTGTGTACACAGACAATTCGTTTAAAAAGTGGCATGATGTCAAAACCTCCCAATCGCTTATGTACACAAGCAATCTACACATTTTATGTACTTTTATGTACATCAAGAATGACCCTTGAGAAATAACTGTCCGATCTATTGGCATTGCCATGTGATGATGTTTGTCATATTCATCTATCGCTTAGTGTTGGAGCTTTGTATGGGCATTAATCTTCATGACTTGAGAACTATAGAATAATGATTTAAATGGAGGTGTTCATCTCCTAAATTATTGGTTATAAGAACTGTATATATATGACTGTCATATACTATGCATAACTCTAATTAAGAGCATCTCCAGCGGTTAGCTAATTTCTCTCGTAGCTTGACTAGCCACATAAGCATTTCTAGCAAAATTAAAATGTACTCCAATGATCAGCTATAACATTTTCCTCTTAGTAATGCTTTATTTAATAATTTCACTTCCTCAAGCTAGTAGCTCATTTAAGCTAATTAGCTATCTCAAGTAAAAGAAAAAACAATGCTCAAATGGCAAGCTATTAGCTTTAAAATTGCAAGAAAGTCCTCAAACCAAATCATTGGAGATGCCCTTAGAATGTTTTTCGTATCCTACCACCGTCTTTTATTTATTTTATTCTAAAAAAATACTAAAATTGAAGAGCATACTCTTAAAACTGTGACCGAATAATTTCATCATTATTACCGGCCACATTCAAAACAAGTAAAGCATGAATGAACAAATAAGTTAATTACTGTGGCAATGAATTTAGTTTCGAGGTGCTTTAAATATTCAGTGATTCAATTGTGTCTACTTGTGATTTAATTGAAAAAATAATTTATTGGTTCAGATAATTAACGTATTTAATCAATTAATTTGAAGAGATATTACCCAAAATGGGACTAAAAAGGTTTGAAAATTCCAAAATAGGACTTCCATGTTTTTATTCCCAAAATAGGACTAATATACTATTTTGGGAATAAAAACATGACAGTCCTATTTTGGAATTTTCAAACCTTTTTAGTCCTATTTCGGGAACTTTCCCTTAATTTGAATTGAATATACTACTCCGTAATATACTATTCCCATGGGTTTTATATTATTGGCCTGGAGAACATTAAGACTAAAGGTAATCGATCAATACACTTTTAGTAAACTCTAATGACTAGTTTTGTCAATATAAAAAGAAAAACAGAAGCACTGGGAAATCCGAGGAGATGAAATTCATGGTATAAATGGAAACTGTGAGATGCATAATTTTTGGACATGCATGGATAGGAAGGATTATAGGCATAGCAAAAACGCAAATAAAGTACAATAATTAGGCTCTCCTGCAGGTGATGGCAAACAACAAAACCCTTCCCCAGCCCATACCTTTTACCACGTACGGAGCATTTTTAGTGTTTGTAAGGCACATCTAAGATTAGGTTGTCCCAAACCGGAAAGTATAAAACACTAAAATACTATATAAGACTTTGAGCTACTCGTTCTATTAGGTTGACCTATTAGTTTGAATGTTTGTTTAGCACCCATGATTACAAGTAGCTTGTTAAGGGTCTGTTTTACCCATTTGTACATCCCGATATTTTCCAACCCGGTTCAGGCTGAGGGAGCGTGTTAAAGTATTTGTCCCACACCGGAAAGCTATAAAATAATAAAACACTATATAAGGTTTTGAGTTACTCCTCCTATGAGGTTGACCTTTTATGATGAAACCCCAAATCTTAACATCTAGAGTCTCTAGACTAAACGTGAACTAAGAAGTTGTTGCGGATGAACGTAGCTCATCTAGTAGATAGAGGTGACATAAGGGGTAAGTCTTGACTTTGAATCCTGGTAACTGTGGTGAGAAGTTTTTTTTTTTGCAAGGAAAAGACTTAATTAGCATTAATCAAATCATTGTCCAAAGTAGCTACAATAAACGTAGGAGGAAAATGAAACCAAGAACGCGAATCAGACACAGAACAAGCGGCTTTTGCTAAGGCATGGGCCGTCTTGTTCGCTGATCGCCTAATATGACTAAATGAGATGCTTGAAAAAAGCTTCGCCAAGTCTCGAATGTCATCGCCTAATAATCCCACTGAAGAACAACTGATTCCCTTCGAAATTTCTGAAATAGCACAGGCCGCATCAGTTTCTACTTCGATGTCCATCCATCCTTGTTCTAGAAGCCAACACAAAGCCTCTCTAATCCCGAGCAACTCCGCCTCCAAAGGAGATAAATTGCCTCGCCAAGGTCGAGCCACTCCTGCCACAAATATGCCAGTATCATCTCGCAAGCACCATCCAATCCCACAACTTCCAGAACGGACAGCGGCATCCACATTTAGCTTGAGTTTCCCCGGATGCGGTCGACTCCAAGTAGAAGCAGCCTGAACTCCTCTCTGACCCCTTACTATCCGAGCTTGCTGCGCTTCTTTCCAGGCTATCACCGAAGCTTCAGCCTTCTGAATGATCTGCTGCACTGATGATGAAACTCCCTGCCAAACCCGATGATTTCTCTCGCACCATAATGCCCAGCAACCCCAAATCATCCTCTCCACCAACTCCTTACGTTTAGATATGAACTCTAGGTTAATTTGGTCCAAGAGGCTTACTGCCCCTCCACCTGTCCAGTACCACGACATCATGGCCCAAACTTCACGAGCAACTTCACAATTTAAAAAGATATGCTGCAGCGATTCACCTTCCTTGCCGCACAGACCACACAACTCCGAACAATCCACTCGGCGACTCAATAAATTCTCTCTTGTTGGTAAGCAACCGCTGCACACCTGCCAAAAGAAAGTTTTAATTTTAGGCGGAAGACTCCAAGACCACATAACAGTCCACTCCAAATTCCCCGAAGACTCAATTTCCCCTAGTAGTTTGCGGTAGCAACTTCGCACTGAGAAATGTCCATTCTCCTCCCATCTCCAACAAAGTTTATCCGGAATTGGTCGCAAGCTAATAGGAATTCCCTGGATTAGCGAAACATCCCGATGTTCAAAAATGTCCTGGAGAATATCCATGTCCCACCCCCTTTTATTTTCCTCCATCAGATTGGCTACAATAGCCCGGTTTAAACCAGTCACAACTTCCGAAATCACCCTGGGGTTTTCTTTGTCCGGCAGCCATGGATCTTCCCAAACATTAATAGATTGCCCGTCCCCTACACGCCAGTAATATCCATCCCGAATCAGATTTTGTGTACTAATTAAACTTCGCCAAACAAAGGACGGGTTATTTCCCGGCTTAGCATTTAGAAAATTGCCACTGGGGAAATATCGGGCCTTAAAAACTTTACCCACCAAAGAATCAGGATGAGTAAAAATTCGCCATGCCTGTTTAGATAACATCGCCAAATTAAAATCTCTTACTCTCCGAAAGCCCAACCCGCCAAACTTTTTTGGCTTACAAAGAGAAGCCCAATCCTTCCAACGGATCCCATTCCCTGCCTTCCCTTTCCACCAAAATCCATTCATTAAAATCTCAATCTCCCGACAAAGTTCAAGTGGAAGTAAAAAGACATTCATAGCATAGGTCGGCATAGCCTGAATAACAGATTTCAAAAGAACCTCCCGCCCGGCCTTAGAAAGAAATTTATTATTCCAATTATTAATACGACTAACCACCCGATGTCTCAGATAACCCAAAATGTCCCTTCTACTCCTCCCCACCAAAGCAGGTAACCCCAAATATTTTTCATCATTGCCGGCTAAACCAACTCCGAGGAGTTCAAGCAAACCCTCTCTCCAATCGCTTGCCACATTAGAGCTAAAAAATACTTTAGATTTATTAAAATTTATTACCTGACCCGAAGCCCTTTCATAATCAGATAGAGTTTCCTTCACCAAAGATGCTTCCCCGTGAGTGGCTCTGAAAAATAGCAAACTATCATCTGCAAATAACAAATGTGAAATCATAGGCGCCCTACGAGCAACCGAAACACCATGTAATCGACCCGTAG